TAGCTATGTGGTGTATTGTAGATAGAGCCTCAATTCTCATTTCATTTAATAAAGACTGTGGTTGTGTTCGATTGGGAAATCCGGATTTCGGATTTTGCAATCGAACGCGAAATCCGAAAACGGATTTCACCTCCGAGAAATCCGTCCTCAGGGTGGATTTCAATTAAGAAATCCAAATAAGGATTTCATGGATTACCTTTTTACCGTTTGATTGAGAAATCCGAAAAAGGATTTGCAAAATTGAGCTGCAAAATTGTCACTCGTGAACAGTGGTTTTCTTTTTGCAAATTATGCGTAGGCGTGCAAGGCCGCTGTTCTTAAAGACAATTTTTCAAACCCTTTTTCGGATTCCCCAAGCGAAGGGTAAAAATGAAAATCCAAAAACAGATATCTCAGCGTTGAAATCCGTTTTTAGATTTCGCGTTCGATTACAAATCCGAAATCCGGATTTTAAAATCCAACTCTAGATTTCCCAATGGAACGCTCCCCGTGTGGAGTATCGATTGGTGTATTTTAGCTTATAATCCTTTTCTTCGTTTTTTCTAGAACTTTTCAGCCAAACGTTAAAAGCGGCTTTAGCGGCTTTCGAAACGTCAGATATGACCCGAGAACGATCGAATCAAGTGAGTCCCTCGAACCCGACAGTCGAAGAGGACGGACCGTCGCAAGTTATCAAGTACATTATATTCTTTGTCAACGTTCTGTTCTGGTTCTTGAGTATCCTTGCCCTTGGCATTGGCATTTACGTAATGGTAGAAAAACGTGACGTATACAGCAAACTGACAGATTTGTATTACGACCCCGCAGTCATATTCGTGGTATTTGGAGGCCTGTTGTTTATTATAACCTTCACTGGTTGTATCGGAGCGCTGCGCGAAAATACCTGCCTCCTGGTGTTTTACGCAGGAATCATCATCTTTCTGTTGATTCTGGAAATCGTTTGCGGGATAATTGGTTTCGTTAACAGCGAAAAAGTGGAAGAGAAAGTCGATGAAAAGCTACGCAACGCCATCGTTTTTTACCGCGATCCGCTGAAGCCAGACCTTCACTTTTTGATCGACACTGCGCAATCAGAACTGGGTTGCTGTGGCTCGAAGGCTTATACCGATTGGGAAGCCAACTTTTACTTCAACTGCTCGGCTCCTTCGGCCGTGATTTCAGCTTGCGGTGTTCCATATTCGTGTTGCAAAACGGAAGAGCTACAGACAAACCGACAATGCGGTTATGGAATAGATAAACTCACTTTAGCTGTGCGGGAGCAGAGAATCAATGTACAAGGATGTCTTACCGTATCGGTGCAGTTTCTTAAAGATAACCTTGTTCTGATAGCTGGGCTATCGCTTGCTGTCATTGCATTACAGATAATATCTCTGTGCCTTGCACTGACTTTTAGGGGGCAAATTCTTGGGGTAAAAGAGACATATGGGACATAGTAATTTCTGATCAATTGTGTTCACACTGTTTTTTGTTTCAAAGCGGATGCAGTCAGTTACTGTATCATGTTCATTCACACTAGATCGTTAGTTTATTTCACACTGAATAATCTGATGTGGTAATGGCCTCCTACTGAGTCAAAATGGTCACACGAACTGTGTTTACTGACGCCCCCTCCACACACTCGTGTATCTAATCTGGTAGAGACGGATGACGTTTCAGACTAACACGCATCCGGACCTTTTTAAAAACGAACAATTTTTCTCCTTGTTAGCGTTCCGTCCGCATGTGAACAGCGTTTTCGGGAACCAAAAACGCAGGTTTTCAAAAACGGTCCCAGAGCAGAGATTTTGAAAACACTGGCTTCTCGTTTACGCGTGATGGACGAAAAAGGAGGTTTTCAAATTCGATGATGTCATACATCATATACTACTTGTATTACGCATGCTATTGTATTTCCAACATGTACCTTGGGTACCTGAGGTTTTTTCTCGCGTGGGACGGGGAGCCTCGTTTCGTCGGCCGCAGGCCGACACGTGTTTGGCCGAAGGCTGAAGACACGAGCCGCGAAGACTTGACCGAGACCGGAAACCGCGCACGAAAAGCCTCTGACACCCAGGGTAAGTTCACTCATGTACTTGTGACAAAAAGGCACAAACTTGCGATCGAGAAGGAGGGTGCCGGTGCTTTACAAGAAATACCACAGGTTCTATATTAAAATTCTAAGATGACTTTCAGGCTTAAGGAACAAAATTGCAATTAATTTTTTCATGACTCCATTGTCTTGCGCTCCATTGTCTCGCAATTTCCTGAAGAGACCTGAGCACAAAGAAAACCAGGCCAGCATCAGATCCCATCGGCCTAAACCCCTTGGTCACCTTAGTATTCTTTATTGCTTCCACACTACACTTTAATAGATGCAATTCTGCTCAGCAAATGTTCATCAAAGTGTATGTCTCTTCAATTTTTAAGGCAAAAAAAATTCCGAGGAGCGTGAGTGGAATCGAACCCTGAGTGTAGGGCCTGCAGTTCGTCAACTTACCACAAGACCTCTGAGGATTGGCTGTCTAGAGGCGATTTGATTTGAAGTTATATAGCAACAACCCTAACCGTACCTAGAAGCTTACCGTCTCGAGTCAGTGCTTAACCCTAACCACTATTTACAGGGCGTGACCCTTATCACCTTAGTCAGTGCTTAACCCTAATCACTATTTTCAGTGCTTAACCTAAGCAGTATTGCTTAACCCTTAACACTACAGTCGGTGCTCGAAACCGAAGCGATAAGGAATCCTACGTTGTCTAAACTTCTTGACAGAGGTGTCCGAGAGAGTTTAGGCTGATGGGATCTAGTAACCAGAAAACCAAACCAAATACTGAAAAAATGCCCAGAAAGCCTCGGAATCATGATCATGTTAGAATTTTGATGCATCGAACGTGGGCTATTTTGAGCTTAGCCAACCGCGACGGCGTCGACAGGGACAAAAACAACACATTTTGACTCCACTAACGGCAACAGACAAAATCTAAAGGCAAATAAGTTTATTTAGGGACGGCTTGGCCAGAACCAACTACTGCAAAGTACGTATGTAGATACACCAATAGGTAAATTGAACTAATGTACAACACTCGCAAATTAGCTTTCACAAACAAAACTACTACGATTCGTCGATCTCGACCTGTATCCCCAATTAACGCAAGCTTAGTGTCAGTTAGGCCGCCAGTTAGGCTGGGGAAATACATATAATACTTGTAATAAAATTCTGACCAACGGATAACTGGAACAGAACATTGTAGGAGCACAGAAGATAAGCGCCGGGAAAACTGAGAATCATCTTCATTAATGTACCCAGCAACGCACTCAGAGCAATTGCCAGGTAGACTGTCAGAAAAGGCTACGGCAGGAAATTTAGGGTAAACAAATGGATAACGACGCTGGCTAGAGGTCTGTAACATTGCCTGCAATCTAACTGCGTCAAACTACTAGACTTATGTCACCACCTAAAGAGCGGTTCCGGGACAGCTGGCCTAAACGTACATAGGAACTAAACATATTAAGTAAAGGAACAGGTGCACAACTGTACAAGTGCATAAGGATAAGAAAAGAAAAAAAAAAGCTGAAAACTAGCAGAGCTGAGTTACCGCTCACAAATGAAACATATGCGGTCGGGACGGTCAGACGGAGGCCAGCAAAAATCTGCCCCCCAAAAAAGGGGGCAGGAAATCTTGGTAGGAACCAAGTTTCAAGCTCAAAGTCCTTCCATATCAGGACTTTACAATGTAATCGAGAATAGGTCGCTCCTAAAACAAAACCAAAAGTTAAGAAAAACCAAGAGGTTAGTTCAGAAGCCTACCGGATGACGTACATGTGATACATACAGAAATACATGCTTTTTTATTTGGAGTCTTACAATAAATAGTATAGTCACTGTCAAGGAGTCACTGTCAACAACAACAGTCCTATTCAGGACTACGTTCATCTGGGCGATCAAACTCAACTTACTTTTGAAATGACTCCTCGGTTCAAACCTTTCACAATAAACAGTATATCAACTATTTCGAAATAACTAAAATTACAAACAACGAAAATTCCTAACCATATATGGCATGACATACGCAGCCTTATATACCCTCGGTATGGCTACCCATGGTGCCCCCTGCCTAGTACCCAGGCCTTGTTGTATCTCGCGCCGTCAAAATACTTATTTCTGCCTTCTTCGCGGGCTCATTTGTGACAAATAACATTTATCGACAGACGGGCAGGTGTCAGTAGGAGAGGGATGACTGTGTGACATTATTGAGGGTTAGCCCCATATCTAATCAAGTCATTGAGAAAGCCCCTGAGTAGACTGACTTTATCCCGGACAAAAGTATATGTAGTTGGGAAGGTTGTAAAACTTAACAGTAGTTCATTTCAATGTTCAAAAGATGTTTCTCCATCCTGCGAAATACCCCTTGTCCCCCCCTTTCAATGTTGGGATATGATAGAACAATTACGCCTACAAACACTCATATTTTGTTCAACATTAGAAGTAAAAATGAGGAAAAAAGTAGCCAGCCTTCCCAGCACTTTTGACGATGTTTGTAGTTTATGTGAATGGCCTCTTCCAATTGACCCTCTTTTCGAACAAAAAATCCAATAGAATGTCCCTCCCGCCTTCCCCCAACTCAGTCGAATAAGATAGATGTTCAGGAACAACCACAACAACGAGACCAATAAACATAAAGTTTCTTATTTATTCTTAATACAAGTCTTTAAATAAACTTTGCATAAGAGTTTAGGTGCTGATGAATGCCACGTACATCAAACAGACTTCGAGTAAACCAACTTTAGTTTAATACTTTGCGATAAATATTCGTTAGTTTCATTTTCAAATTTGTCGCCTTTCAGAGTGTGTTTTTAAAAACACCAATGGTACATCATTTCAGTGCTGTGTTGAGGTCTGGAGTAGTCATCGAGACCGGGCTTAAAGGAGGTTAACAGCAATAAATAAGATCCGGTGTCAGCCTGAAGAAGCAATGCCAGCCCCGTGATAACGGCTTATTGCCCTATAATACCGTGATTTGTCTCATACGCCAACCCGTCCAAGTGACTGATTTGTCTTGGGATTAGCAGTTATCGCTTGGACGGCTACTATCGCCTCATTAATCCTCGTCTGTAGTTCTCTTAGATCTGTTACATGTAATAAGCGGATTATCTTGGCTGCTTCATTCACCGCTGAATCTGAAACAAGGAGAGAAAATTAAATACAAGGAGGTGCCGTAAAATGCGACTCATAAGCCCTGAACTTATACAAGGTTCGCACAGATTTTTGGATCAACAATTTACGACTTTTTCGCAGACTTTTTCCAAAACAATAATTTCTTTTTTCCAGAATACTCAAGATTATCAAATAGGTCTTCAATTATAACGGAATAAATATAAAAGCGCATCGAGACAAGCTATAGCAGGACTGATGAAAATGCGTTTTGCATTTACTGGTTAGTAATCAAGCTTCAAAACATCATAATACAACGAAGTTTGGTTAGTAGGGGGAGCTCAGCCTCAGTTGATGGTATTCTCCAATGTCTTTATTGACCTTGATTGACAACAATACATGAAGACAAACAAATAAACAAACAAAACAAAAATAGGAATATTCGAAAATTGCATTGTGCTTTTTTTCTAGTTGTAAACTCAGTTCTGCTGTTTAAGGTTAATGTAATCCGGCAAAGTCACAGCTCGTACCATAACTTTATTATTTTCTCACATCGCATATTCCAATTGATATTAGAAAACAAAAAGAAAAAGAAAGCATTAAATACACACCTCCTGTGTTAAATCCTAGGTCTACTTTGTTAAGTGGTATGACGTCAGCCTTTTTACCCTGCAAGCAAAGCACTCGTTAAAAATGAAAACCCAGGTCAGTACTTATTCGAACGTATTTGAATTCACCACATGATTCTAGGCCACCTTTACACCAAGAAAGTCTGTAACAACGGGTGTCTTAAAGCAACAGACAGCCGGTTTCTGTAGGATACACAACATTTCTAGCTGGTCAGTTTTCTACATTTACTCGCTTAGGTTATTTCCTGATATAAGCTATCTATTTTTAACCATGCCTTTCAAACTTAATACTCCTAACCCGACTTTGATAGCAATGGTAGGTCTTCACATTACACATTATTATTTTTCTACCACCCTTCCTGGTCCTTTTGAAAGGACATGGAACATGGACTGCCATCAAGGATAACTAATACAGGCACTTTATATTTGGGAGCAAAACAATGCTACCCAGCTCACCTTTTTATCAGTCTTTATCACTTCAGATGAAAGTTTACCTTCAATAAGCGAGCGGAGAGCCTGTAGAATAATTAAAAACGATATAAAAGCATGTATATTATTAGAGATGTAACTTATCTATGAAAAAAGCTGTTGCGTTGAAGGTCTTTGGGTTGGTGAAAGTCTGAAGGTTTTAGGATTAGGGTTATGGTTATGGTTCAACTTGAAGGAGTTTTACCCACATCTACAAACTAGACTGCATGCAAGCACAAAAAAATGGGAGGGAAGGGGAGGGAAAGAAAAGCACGGAAGGGAAAAGGAACAGGGGAGTCCGTTTTACTCTCTCCCCAGTCTCCTCTTCCTTTCCCCTCCTCTTTTGATGCCTGCCACGCAGGTTACTGCAAACCCTTTAAGCCCCAATATTCACATACAAATTTGCCAAACTGATCTCTATACATTTCCTTAATGAATGAGTTGAGAGAATTCGATAAAAAGTCAAAGTCTTTTCTCTTGGGTGATCATATAATTAATTCTCATAACCTAATCTCTTGACAATGTATGGATATCGTTAGGAGAAAATTGATTTTGGTCACTATTGGGCCCTAAAGGGTTAAACCTTTAACAGGAACATCACCATTGTTTTTTAATACTTTTAGTGCTGTCCAAAGCCTTGTGGCTGTTTTGAGGGGCACGGAACTCCAACTAAACAATACTAACAATAATGATAATGATAATAATTTATTGCTTCTATTGTTCGCATTCCATAAAATGATCATGCGCTCATTACAATATAGATAAAAAAAATTAACATAATACAATTGAATATCTTACAATTAATAAAAATCAATGAGTACATAAAATCGATATAATACCATTCCATATCTTACAATCACAATAATCAATAAAAGTATAAAATGTAAAGGAAGTGGAAAAAATAGATAGTAAGGGACTGTGCACAATCTGCTCATGCCAATAACGAACCTTACTTTGATTAATACAAATGTATAATAGATTTTAAAGGTACTCCTAGTTTTTTCTACCTGCAGGGTCCGAAATTGCGCCTTCCTAGTCGCCAATGCGACCAAACATTCAGTTCTGGCGACCAGAATTTCATAGCTGGTCACCAGCTGGAGACTTATAAAGCTGGTTGTTATTGTAGACTTTCATGTTCGGATAAAATGATTAAGAATTGAAACCTCGAAGCTCTTTGCCAACAGGTGTCTTACTTTTTGTCCTGCTGATATTTTTTTAATTTAAAAGTGAAACGAATCTTCCTGTAAATATATACATCCACAACAGCTATGATCAATACGAGTTGAACGTTTCCCAGCCACCAAGGGGATTTTTTGGTGAAAATAATTTGCCCTCTGGCAACCATATTAAAAAGTTAATCTCGGACCCTGACCTGGCCCTCAATAAACAATTTGCAGGATTAATACTATCTCTGGAAAACAAGGAAAAATAGCAAAAAAGTGAGATACAGTTGTAAATATTTACCCACGTTACCTGTAACAGAACAAAGTGATCAGGGTGTTCTGGTAAGCTAAGGAGTTTTGATAGCGAAGTAACTCCAGCCTTCAGATCTGGATTCTCTACTGCAATTACAAATTGAAAAAGTGTAATAAGAACAATTACCTTGGAGTATGAGAATAAACTCAGTAGGAATAAACTGCAGAGTTAAGCTACCAGTATTTACAATCCCTAAAAACAACAAACTATTTACAACCCCCTCTAAATAAGTCCCCCTTTTTTAGGGGAAGAAATATGTTAAGCCCCTTCTCTTTTAAGCCCCTGAGGTGCTGGTAGTTTGGATTTGTTGTTTTTTTTCTTTGGCTGCGTGACCTCAAACTTCATTGTCTGAGCTTTTCCACTTTGCGTCCTTACTTTTCTGGAGAACTGATACCATCATCGTTGTTACATTAAATACACCCCCCCTCCCTCCCCCTCCCCTTTTCTCCCTCTCAAATAAGCCTGCCTCAGTAACATGCTTGAAAAAAAAAAGCTCCCTGGCTGGCTTAATAGAGGATTTTATACCGTGAACTTGATGTAATTTAGTACTTAATGGAGAAATAATAAAAAGAAAAAATGTTCGGACGTGCTGTGCACTGCACTGAATGTGTTACTCACAGATAGGAGAATTAAAGATTCCCTAAAAGTGTACTATGCGTTTTTGAGTGAAGAATGTGGTAATCACAGATTGGAGAATTGGACATTCCCTTTTTGGCTTAACTGAACTTTTTTTGAATTTATTAGTAGACTGCCTTGCAGTTCTGTGCTATGGTGTAATATTGCACTCGAACAACTGTATTTAATCTTTCTTCCAGTGGTATTTCAATAACTTCAAAATGCATTTTATTTTAGTATTATTTTCTTATTTATTATAAATTTTAGTATGTGACTAAAATCATGCAAGATGCCACAAACCTGTTAAATTAATAAGGCTCTCATCAAGTGACCCCTCCACTGTTCCTCCTTCATCCGGTTCTTTTTTGTCCTTTTGTCCAGCACTATTAAATTTTTCAGCTATATATATGATGCAATTTTAAAATAACAAATAAAAGTGTGAGATTCAAACTACTGGTAACTAAAAGACAAATTAAACTTCAAAACAGTTCTAATTGTGAATAATCTAAAATAAATTAACTTGCGTCATATTTTGGGCAAACATATGGCATCCTAGCTATCAGATAAAATTTGGTACAGAGGTATACTTGACAAATTTTGCTATATTTGTCAGATGCAACTAACTTTGCAAAATTTTAATATAAATTTAGCTTTATAATATGCAAAGTAAGTAAACAATATAACAAAAAAAAGGACAAACCATTTTCAGCATATTCAACCCTCACAGCATGAGCAAGTAACCAATCTACAACACTTGGTTTCTGTGAAAATTCCACTGGACATTTTAGATCATCTAAATACTAGGAGGAAAACCAAGGGAAGTGGATGAGATAAATTATACACTTTCAAATTTTCATCTGATGTTTATTCTACCACTACAGGATTTTAAAACCTCTGCTTACTTGCCATTTTTGAAAGCTAGCCCATCTAAGTTATCACTGCATAGTCTGCCCTGCTCTGTTTTGGCTCCTGATTCTTGGAGTTTATTAGGTACATGTATTAATGGATGCAGTGCCAAGCATGTATAACCAGTTTAGTCCAGGAGAAGGTAAATAATTTGGAGAGTTTGTATCTATACAAACCATGTGAGAACTATATTATTTTTTCTATGTACTGTGGACCAAGGGGGAGCTCAAGACAAAAATGGCAAGATAATTTATATACCTTACCTTTCTGAAAGTTTTCATCCATTCACTGCTTTTTACATCTCGTAGCTCTACTCTCTCCTCAATTTTGTACAACCTTATTCTTTGATCTTCCAGCCAAACAACCAAGTTTCGAACCTCTTCATCACCTGAATGGAATTGAACAAGACGTTCAGTTTTTGGCCAGTATTCAAACTACCGGTAATTTGGAACAGAATTTCCTCTGGTTCTCAGCCCTAAATTTTAATAGCAGAGCTCTCTCGTGCACACAAAGAGCGTGCAGCAGAGCACCATGGGTTAGAAAACATGGTTATCTGTGCATCCAAGAATTTTCGGTATTAAACCATGTGACTGAATGCACGCCCGTCCGCACCACATACCATACCAATGTAAAATAACTCAATCAACAGGTATGTCAACCCAAATGCATGATGAGGTTTATGGTGGGAAGTCACATGCCCCCCCCCCCAGACTTTTTAGAGTGAAAAAACAACAAAAAAGTCAAGTCCAACTAAATCTTAATGATCTTTAATGATGTGGATAAGAGAGAAAGAGCTAACATGTTAGATAAAAAACAAAGGAGACAAATTTTGTTGGAAGAAAAACATGAAAACTGGTGGTAAGAAATGAGGAATGCTAGCAGCCAGCTACTGTAGGTAAAAAGGAATGGCAGTGAAAAAAAACAAAACAAAAAAAAACAAAAAAAAAAAACGCAAATATAGGAAGTCTGGAACACAAGCAACAAAATTTCTGGTGAGCACATAAGACATTTCCTACATAAGATGTGTAACTAGAAAGTTTCATGTTGTAGTCGTGCAAAACAACGTCAAAGAAATGTATAAAAAAAAGTGTGTTGTGTGTGCAAAGTTGTTTTTTTTCTTTTTGCTAATAAGACCTATTGATTTTATCCCCATTCTTTTTGCCGTCACTGATTAGCATTTGCATAATTTTATTTTTTTTGTGTGAGTAAATTATAAGTATATTACCCAGAGCTTCCCTTTTAGACCTAGCTAAATCTATATCTAAATAACTAATAACTAGCTAAATCTATAGGAGGGAAAGGAAATTCTAGTTCAATCTGAGAACAGCTTCATTGTTAAACATGTGAATGCTCTGAGACAGTTTTCCTTTTTTTTTTTTCTTTTCCCTCCCCTGTGAGCCCATCCCTTTCCTTCAAACGTAGAACACTATAGTGAATTGTTCCCTCCCCATCCAATTTATCCCCTTGTATTCCCCGACATATTCCCCTGGTTGGCCAGAGGTCCTACCCCTGGGGTAGGACATGTGCAATACCACTACAGTTCTAAATTGTGATCCTTTCCATTATTTTGTTTATTTATTTACTTTTTTTGTAGTACTGTTACCTCAGTTCTTTTATTTTGACGATGAATGTTTAACGTTAAATAGGGGAAAATCAATAAACGTAAAACTAAAGGAGAAAATAAAGCTTTTGATCAATTTTCAAATAACACAATTAATATCAAAAATTCAACTCCCAAATAAGAAGGTACTTACTATTAACATCAAAGGCTTCAGGATTATGATATCCAAGAGCTTTGAGTTTTCGTCGAAACATTCTAAATTAACTCGTGCTTGCAAAAACGTCTGACACACGATTTTCGGACAGGCGTTCGGAAAGTGAGAGAGGAGGGACTGGGGACAGGCGTGGAAAGAGAGGTGAATCGCGGGCTCGTAAAGTTCAAAATGGCGGACGCGATTGTTGGCGTAAAAGTAATTAGTATTTTTACGCCAACAATCAAATTATTGGCCTTAAGAGGAAGAGTCAAGTTTAGCTTTTGATAAATATGAACTACTTAACAGACAAATATATGCATCTGTTCCTCAGACCTGTACTTCATCGTGCCTGTCTCTCCAACGCTTGCGAAAGATGCAACTTGCTATGTTCAACATTCTTTGGTAGAAACCGTGTTTCTAGAGAGCTTCACACAAATCAGGCATCTTTTCCTGACTTATGGTTCAACGTGGACAAATTAGATAGCATGAGCCGTCGAGAGCTACAGCAACTGTGCAAGAAATGTGGCATTAAAGCAAACAGCAAAACAGATACACTTTTAAACGACCTTAGAGATTTTTACGCACAACACGTTGCCGACACGTCGTCGATTCTTCACTATCCTTTCATAATGCCAAGTAATCAATCGTCTGTCGCCACAAGTGAGGCAAAGAGGAAGAGTTTTCTTCCAGTGCATCCTAATCTGTATAAGAACCTTAACTTGTTTAGCCCAATGGAATCACCTGGTCAGTGGATAAGTGGAGAGGTAGGCAAGTTGAATAGAGCTGTTAAAACAAAGGGAATTATGAGTAAAACTATAGGACAGTACAAGAGCATAACAGATGCTGATGAAGACAATGCCTCAAATGCAAACGACATGTACTTGACAAAGAATGCGAGTGTGTCTGCTGTTTTAAACTGCACTTCCAACAAGCTGTTCATGATAAGCCGTTGGCAGAAACAACAGGTTGAGAAAATGGGGAAAGAGAAATTCAATGAATACAAAAAATCACTCTCTAGCAGTGGGTCGCAGTTTCACAAGTGTATGAATGATATTCTGCAAGGTGGGACAGGTAAATCGGGCTGCTTTCCAGAACTGATTTCAGGTTTAATCCAGAGTGTAGCAAAAACAGAAATTTTAAAGCTTCTTACTAAAGACAAAGTCCTGGCAACAGAGGAATATGTGACACATACATCAATTGGTTATTCCGGCACTTTTGATGGTCTTGCCATATACAATGGAGTGCCTTGTGTCATTGAATGGAAAACCTCAACAAAACCTAGACCTACACTAGAAAGTTGTTATGATGCACCTCTTCAAGTTGTAGCATATGCTGGAGCTATTAATTCAAATCCCATTTCGAGGATTCCTGTAACAAACTGTATGATTGTCATTGCACATCATGATGGCTCTAAAGCAGATGTTCACTGGATGGACTTAGAAACTTGTGAGAAATTTTGGAACTGCTGGTTACTCAAGGTTTTAAAGTACAAGGAAAAAACTGATTGTGTCTCAAAGCAAAGGGGTTCATGATTGCACTTAATACTTCATTTGTTTTTTTTTAATGTTTGTTCTGTCTGAGTAATGATGAAATTTATTTCCTAATAAAAATGCTACATTTATATTAATACAGTGTAAAAAGTATTAATAGTAATCTTTCATAAGAAAGTAAATATATTAATATATTGCAGATACTTACCTTTTTACTTGTTCATGTGCTTTTTTTAAAATCTTTTATTAGTATGTTATAGAAATGCTAAGTACACATACAGTTTAACCTCCATAAGTGATCGATCACGCAAAAAAATGGATTTGCACAAATTTTCTCCTTGCAAATATGTCACAAATATGTAAATACATCCTCGGAGACCCAGGGGCAGATAGTGGATGTGAGGGAAAGTCTAAACGGGTGGAAAAATATGTCACGAAGAAGAAAAGTAAAGAATGGCGAGTAGAGCCCCTGGGGACAATGTCTTACCAGACCAGTTCTCAACGGTCGCCACCGTCCTGGCTTCTGATTGGTGCGAGAAAACGTTTGTGTTTTTCTGCCCAATCAGAAGCCAGAACGGCGGCGACTGTTTGGAACTGGTCTGGTAAGACTGGTCCCCAGGGGCTCTTCTCGCCGTTCTTTACTTTTCTTCGTCCCATATTTTCCTGCCCATTTAGACTATCCCTCGCCCCCACTATCTGCCCCTGGGTCTCCGAGGATGATGTAAATACTGAGGAGTAAATATATATGGCAAAGATGATAAATGCCACATTTGTATACCAAAAAACAGGGGGGTGTAAATGACCAGGCAAATCTGGCATTTACCATGTTTGCCATATATTTACTCCTCAGTATTTACATATTTGTGACATTTTTGCAAGGAGAAAATTTGTGCAAATCCATTTTTTTGTGACTCCCATGTGCAGTGACCACCTCTTGTAAGCGGCCACCTCCCATAAGTAAGTGACTTCTTATCCAAAGCACCAAAATGTTCCCAGTCAGAGCCTTACAGTTGGAACCTCTCATAAGCAACTGCGACTACTTTTTAGGATGATGGCTCTAGAATTTTCCACTGTTTTTTACATCTTTTAAGTGACCACATGACACAATCGTATCGTACAATTGTACTTTGCTATTCAAAGTATGAGTATAAGTGTTAGAAATGAAGTGGAATTACATTTATTGTAAAAAAAAAAAAAAAAAAGCTAAAAATTTCATGCTGCAAATCTTGGACTTGGGGAGGGGTGAAGTCTTATACTTTTACAAATGTTGTCACTCCCATTTCCCATCCCCCAACCTCCTTCCCTCTCTCTCCTGCTGAGACTAAATTTTCAACAATCACTTCCCTGAATTCATTTTCACCAGGCTTGGGTTGTTCAAACGTTGGAGAACGTTATCCACCGAATAGATCACTATCCAGCGGATAGCGTAATTGATTTCCGTAATACTTATAGGCTGGATAGTGATTTATTCAATGGATAGCACTATCCAACGTTTGAACAACCGGGGCCATGTATAAAAGTCATGATCAGATGCATAAATTAAATTGGATCAGGAGCATATAGCCATGAATAGGGTTATGCTTCTGATTGGATAGACTGTAAGTCAACTAGTATAAATTTTATACTAATCCCTGCCATTTTTTGCCTTTTCCAATGCACAGTTTGTTGATACTGTAGTATGCTGAGTGGTATAATGAAGCCTGGGACCAGGCACCTTGGTGAGGAAAAAGGGTGAATTAAAGTAAACAGTAAATATAAAAAATAGGCGATTCAACACAGCAAGCTGAATGGGGAACTTTTGAGGGGAAACGCACTCCACGTCTCGAGTCCATCTCATATCAGTGGGAATACATTTTGATATATTTTGGGAAAAAATCATTGCAATACGAAATATTTTTGGAGGGTGGACAGGAACGGAAAACGGGATATTATAAAAAAAGAGTATCAATCATCAAAGCTGTTCTTTTCAAAGAAGTAATCAACATAAAGGTACAAAACAGTGCACGAGGTCGCAAATATTTGCAGAGCGGCAGATACAATCTTTTTTTAATTATCATGTATTTTATTTTATTTCATCTCATATTATTTTATTATTTTTTACTTATTTATTTATTTATTTTTTCATTTAATTTTTCCTTTTTTTTTAACCTCAAATTGACACCGGAAAAAATCTCCTCTCCCCCTCCCCGACAAGGGTCTCTCCCTTTGCCGCCTCTTTCGCGGGTTACGACCTATTCCCCGGGGCACTCGCGAGTATTTTCTATCGTATCGATTATGGCGGCTCTGAAAATTCTCCGTGAAGTCACTGCTGCATTTACAACGGAGATGAACAACCCGAAAAGGAAGTGGCCATTCCTTACTGAAGCCGAAGATAAGGACCTTAACGAGCGAAAGAACTGGGACAGTCTAAGAGATTGACACCAGGACTTGTATTTCGTCATGGTGGAGTGGCAGCAAATACTGATGAACAATTCGTTACCTGTTTTAATACTACTTTGACAGGAAAAGCAAAAACTGATATGTAAGTATTTACAGGTAGAAAGTTTGTTGTTGAGGGTATCTTGAGATAAGTAACTCACTTTATTAGATGGTGATATGGCTACGTCTCCGACACACCGACAGCCGGTCATGAGCAAAACAAAAACTAGATCATCTGAAGTCCGAACTTTTTAATTCAATTCCCGTAGTATATCAAGGAAGCTTAACCAATCCAAATTAAGATATGTCGATTAAGAAGGACTTTGAAGGAACTGGGGGAGCGCAAGAGTTGTCATAGCAGCAAGCAGGCAGCAAACTCTCCATTTCGAGATTGGCGAGCGATGCGCACCACGAGAAACGTGGAAGCGAGCGATCTCCCTCTCGTGTCTCCTTTCGCGTGCCTCTCGCGCATGACTTTTACTCAACCCCCGAATAAACAGAAGATGAAGAGCTAGCTTCCGGGCTATAGACATCAAATCCAAGCCTTTGTTTACCATAGTTCCCTCCGCATCGTTTTTTGTGTTGACACGTGAGGAATGAGCATTGCGTGACAGTTGCGTGACGTTTGGGTTATATAAGCATAGCATACTCTCCCAGATGTATTTCCCTTCTTGGCTTCTCAAAGAAGAGACGATCGGAAATACGTTTGCGTTCGAAGGCTAGTTAAAACAGGGATATGCCTGGCAGTCTGTGCCAGGGAGAAGGTCTAAGAACTCATAGATTTCTTATTCTATCTCTAGTATAAACTAAAACGTTTATGGACCAAATTCAGAAGCAGCCCTGGAAGTTAACAGAGTAAAAAAAAACCTCTTTGTAAGCAAGGATGAAATAAGTATTAACTGTCAATTTCTTGTATTTCTTGTAGAAATCGGGCGAAAAATAATCACCATAAAGATAGTTTTGCTCGAAAATTACTGAATCATTTTCTCCTCTTAAAATCCTTTTTTACTCATTTTTTTTTTTTCATCTTTGTTAGCGACTTTAAATCATTCCCTGCAGTATTAGCACCTTTTTTCTCAAAACATATACTTTTTTGTAAGTATTTCCTAAGAAATAATATTCTGTTAAGATCTTTAGGCCAGACTCAACTGGT